AAAGTAATATCTCCAACGTTGGCTTTTTTTTAGAATGGAATCGGAATTGATCTTTTTGTTTGTGTAATAGTCATTTTAGTGAATTTCTCTTCAGATCATCTTCAAAATCAAGTTCTTGATAGGATTAATTCATTGTGTAAGCGTCAGAAACTTCCGAATATCTTCTATCCTGAGACATCAATATTGAAAATTCTGTTACGAAGAAAAGCGAACTTCATCCTTTTATATATCAAGAGTCAATTTTTTAAAGATGATCGGACGAAGATTTTCTCTAATCTCAGTAGAGTCTACCACCTAATGAGATAAGACTCATGTCAAAAGCATTTTATCACTTAGCGAAGTTTCCTCATCTATTGTTAAACTAGGATAATTATTGAATTTACAATTGTCAAATTGTCAGATTGAGCAGCTAGTTTATAAGTATCTTGTTCATTGTATTGTTGCTCAGATTGATTTGTTGGATGAATATCATCCATCATAATGTCCAACAGGAGTGGTACAGAAGTATTTGTATATACTATTGTTGTTGTTTCTGATGATGATTTTTTTACTTTGGTTTTCTCTGCAGTAGCAGGAGGAGGAGGAGAAGGTGTAGAAGAAGTTGGACGATTTTCTTCTTCATCAGCTGGTGATAATAATTCTTTATCATCACTACGTTCTCGTTTGTGTTTAGATTTCGATGTTGATAATTGTTCTTGTTTTTCAATTATTCTCTTTTTCTTAGATTTTTTGTTTTGGCTTTTCAGTTAATATAGGAGGTGTTTCAACTTGTTTAGGAACTGATTCTTTTAATTGAGATGTCAATGGTGATGGTGTAGGAATCGACTGAATAGATTTTTCATTTAAGTCAATATTAAGTGCTCAATATGGACCATATTATTTATTTTTTTCAACACGCACATCATTGTCATTACCTTTATTTCCACTTTCTGTAGCATTTTCTGGTAATTCACCATCACGTGTTACTTTAACAGTTGGATAAATATCATCATCATTATCAGGAATTACTTTTGCATCAGTTTTCGATTTTTTTCTTTAAACGTCGATTTTCTTCATCAATTTTTGCTTGACGATATAATTGATTAGATAGTGTTAATTGTGAACTAGTAGCATTTGTTCCTTGTGATAATGTTAATTCAATACAATCATTACCATTTATAGTACCCGAAGTTGTTTCAGTCTATAATATTAAAGATAAATTCAAGGATTGAACTATACTATTTGCATTCTATAGAATCAAATGAGCTAAGAATATCCTAAAGATAGTTCAAGTCCGTAGCTTATTGATGTCGAGATATTGCACTTTTACAGTAGTTTTTAAATGAATGTCGTAGTTAGAGCCCGTCGGATTAGTTTCGAATCCGAAAACTTTGAATTCGATGGGTTCTAGCCATGGTGCTTCGCAGGAATATCATAAAAACTAATTTTCGAATTTTGCCTTGGAACTCTTCATAGAGACAGACCTTAACGAGACTAGTTTCTTGTGAATGTTTCAGATCTTACCATTGCTCCTATCTTAAGATAAAGCTATGATAAAAACTTGTCCATTATATCTGATGACAAATTCGACATTCTTATGTCAACGTGGACGATAATCAAAAGATTTGAAATGTTCATAATAAACTACTAACACTAAAAACTTATTTGTATCAATTTTGGTTTTTTTTGACTCTTTTAAATAGAATGGATTCATTTGTTCACTTTGTTTTTTTGATTATCGTTATTTTTCTAATTCTTCAGCAGTTGATTCAATATATTTTTTCGATCTTTGATAACTTAATGTATCACCAGAGTATGAATTAGAATTAGAATTTTCTCCATTATCATCATAAAATAAACCTTTATTATCATAATATGAACTTGTTATTATCGATCCATCTTCACTGTCTGATTGAGGATCATTTATCCAACCATCCAAATCCAAAAACTTTGAGTTTTAGCAGCAATTGGATTAAGAACATCATCAAATAATACTGATAATTCATTAACATTAAATTCAGATTTTTCAATTAATTATAATGTTGTTTTAAGAATATGTAAAATAACACTTGGCCTAAATAAATAATTTCTTTTTTTTTTATATTTGATATTTTAAAATAAAAAGAAAAAATGGCCTATTCCTTCTTGTGCTTCGACATCACCACTTGATAAAAATAGAGACATTTTATCAATCGTTAATGAAAGAAGTTGTTGAATTAATGTTTCATCATTATTCGATGATTGAATTAAATATATTATAATTTATAAAATATTTTGATTTTTTAATGACTATAGAGAAAAGAAAAGCAAGAATTCTTTCAATTAATTTTGTTTTTCGTTATTGACTTACGAACAAAATTCACTACAAATCCATGCAGCAGCATATAAAACTTCGGAGACAGTTGTAGAATTTGAATCATGAATAACAACATAAGCATTTTCGAGAAGAATTGCCTAAAAACCTGAAATAAAAAAGTTTTTTCGTGATTTTATTTTTGAAAAATTTCTATCATTTGATTACAAGCAAATGAACGAATAGATTCAACACGAACAACAACATCAAGCATTCATAAAGATATGAGATCACCATGTTTTGTACTTTCAAGATGAGTTAATTCAACCAATATACTAATATATCTATTTTAATAAATAATGTTTTTTTATTAATAAAAATTAAAAAAACAAATGTAAACCATTCAAAATTAGTTATGTGTTAATAATCATTTTGACTACATATTTCAATTATTTTTGAAAGTAATTCATCTCGATAATGTGATCCTTCAGATTTATTCATATGAACCATTAATTTATGTACGATATCCATTACAGTTTTTCTTGTTACCTGAATAAGAAAAAAAATCCATAATCAAAATTAAATTGATTCAAATACTGAATGATCAGATTTTTTTTTATTAATAGTTTTTCTCCATCGAATTCTCATACCATCTCAAACAAAAGCTCAATTAATTAAAGAGATCAGTTATTCATGTTTCATTCTACTTATTTAAAAGAATTTCGTCAGAAAAACTCGGTAAAATGGTAAGAAGTTTCTACCATTTTCTCGAGTTTTTTGGCTGGAAATGGCACGTATTTCTTGACCTGAGTAGAAACTAATAGATTGTTTTTATGGACAAACTCGTGTATCAATAAACATTTTTTTGTATTTCAAAAATAGATAAAAAATACAGTAAAATGATTACGAATGAAATCAATAGACTAATAAACATAAATCATATTAACCTTTGTTTATAATGACACATCTAAATAATACAAAAGATTTACAAAAAATTAATTCAACTAAAACTACAATAGCCATTGGAAATAAATAAGAGTTTGTAATGATCATTCTTTCATATTAATTCATAACACTTTTTATATAGGAAAGCTGCTCTAAAGCGCAATTTCTGTGTAATGAAATACGAGCCGATGCCGACTGAAAAATTGTAAGAACTTGGAAGCAGGAATCCAGCGGCTGGCTCTGTCCAATTACGATCTATTCTGATCGAAATTCAAAAAGTCTAACTATCGGTTTCCTATTATTTTTCCAAGTTTTCCGACCGAAAATCCATGGATCCAGGCGTTGACATCACCAAATAGAGATCTACGTTCCATTGGCATGGTCTGTCTTTTACAACCTGTGTACTTTCTATCAACGTGACATTACTATGCAAAACATATATTGACTATATACAGTAGGTCGTCACTGTCTGGAGAAGAAAAAAAATAAAATATTAACATAATAATAAGAATGTTTTCAATGTATTTAATGAATCAATTAAAGACGTCAAAATCTGTCCTCTAATATAAATGTAAATCAGAAACAATTTCGAGTTCCTGACGTATGAAAATATTCTCAATTTCAAAGATATTTTTCTAAGCAATTATGATAACAGTATGATATTAATATATCATAGGAGAAACTAGAACTAGATATCTGACTACAGCACAAGTGAGTAAAATCTCCTTACATATATCGATTTATTAATCCACTCAAATTCAAAATATAAGAGATTTCTTGTTTGTTTATTTTTTTTCGTTTTTCTACAACGAATAAAATCAATATCACGATTGAATTTTTTTCTTGCAATACTTATTCGCGAAAATTAATATAACCTTTTTCTATTGTTAGAAAAGAGGTTAGTCGAAAAAAAAAATAAGTATTCACATAGCACGAACACTGTATACCTCGATATCTACATTTCTTCATGAAAAAAAATGAACCTATTAAAAATTTAGAAAAAAAAATAACAAGTAGGTTCGATGTTTTGTTTGAACGTCTGTTATTTTTAGTATCTTTTTGTGTACTCAAAAAGTGAGTACACTACTAAAATCGGTCAGTGTGTCCGCCCGTCCGTTTATTCGATAACTTTTGAAAGGAGAGTCCAATCGCGATGAAATTTTCTACACAGTTTAGTCTTAACAATATCTCGGTCGAGTTCGAAGATGAGAAGGATTGGCCGAACCATTGCTGAGTTATTGCAAAAATAGTCATTTTTCCCTATGAGAAGATAAACCCTTCTCTGTTTTCATAAAAAACGTTTCCTATCATAGTCAAATAAAACCCCAACTATTATATACCATTCGATAGAGAATTTCACGAGCTACAAAATGGTATATAAAACATAAAGAAACAAGAAAGCTAACTCGCCTATGGCAAAGATAATTAATCGGAATGCGGTTCTGTTTTTGTCCACGCTCTATGTGATTCACAATTAGAGCTCTATCTTCCCATCACAGAGATGATAGTTCGAGGTTTTCTAGAATGGAGAACTCGAATCTATGTTCCATTCGCCTCGAAATCCCATTGGTTGAACAGTAACCAATAGAAATCAAGTTATAGGAAAAACGAATTTCTTTGGGTAAATCAAGGTGAAGAGTTCAAATCTGAGCTCTATTCATCTCTAAATCCTATTGGTTGAGCAGTAACCAATAGAAATCAAGTGATTACAGAAAGGGTTTGCCAGGACAATTTTGATGTCCACACATTCTAGGGTTACTCATCTGTCTCATTCACTTTTTGAAGCACACATAACTCTCGGATTTGAATCCGAGGTTTCCACATTTTTTTTCTATCGAATTAATTATTTCATATTTGAATGGTTTCTTGTCATTGATTTTTTAGCTAATAATTCATTTTCTTACCATTCCAGAAAGAAGATCAAGTGCACATAAATGAATTGATTCATCTTTATCATCAAGACAACACATTATTAAATCACTATGTATTTGAACACTTTTTGGATATGTATGTAAGATTTTCGACATAGAAAGTAAACCAAGATATTTTACTAAAAAATAATATAAAAATTTTTTAGGCAAGTTTTTGTACACATAGTTGAATTGAAATATTATGATTTGGTAAACCCGATGAAATTGATACAAGAACTTAAATAAAAACGTATTCAATTAAAATTTATCTCTTTATTTCATTTGACCAGCAATCACAGTATTAATACATTCATATAAAAGAGACATGGCTGAATTACTATGAATTAAATTTGTCAATGGCTCTATTAATTTTTTGCCTAAACGAAGTTCTAATGGTGTTAATGCACCAAACTAAATACAAACAACGAAAAAGAAATCCATTCGAAAACAAAGAAGTTAAACAAATTTTATTTACTAAATTAATAATTTTAATAAGCGCCCAATTGTTAGTTGATGTTGTCAAAAGGGGAAAAAACATGGAGTTAAAGCAAGATAATTTTTTGGATTACGTCTAGCTAATTCACAAATAATATTCACAGCAGCTGCTTGTACACCTGAAAATAAAATGTTAAAATTCTTGTTTTTTTTTATTTAATCAATTTACCTGAATCGGAATCTTCAAGTTTTTCTTTTAAACGTGGAAATGCTGGTTTAAGAGCAGCAGAATTATTAAGAAATATTTTATATAAAAGTAGAATAGCTCATTTACGAATATATGGTTTTGTTGATGTCATCTAAAAAAATTTATTTAAACAAATAAATAGAAATAGAAATACAATTATTTCTTACACGCGTCATTATATCATTAGGTAAATCATGTGTAAGATCACTATTTATAAAACATGAAAGACTACTCATACCAATATCTGCTTCATACATTGATGGACTATTTAGATCCTTAAAAATATTCGTTTTATTAAATACAATGATAAACAGAAAAATAAAATTAACCTTTCGAATCATGAAAACATTATGAAGCAGCTGTAGATAACCAATTCGGTAAAACAAAAAGAAATTACGCATAAATTAGAATCTTTGACTATCGAACTATTTTTTATTAGTAGTCTATATTTTGATCGGAAGGAAATGTCGAACACAAAAAAAACCTAGAATAATGAAAACAAAATTGATTTAAAAGATATAATTATCACAAGATTAATGTCAGATTATGTTCAAATAAATCTATCATCGGTCATTCTGTGCAATAAAATAGATAAGAATATGGATTAATACCGTTTCATTACTCATTACTTATTACGTAAGAGATAAATTATAGAGATCTCAATCACCATTGTATCACTGAGTACTATCAATAAAGA